CTGATTTTGGAGAAAATTTTATTTGAGAAAATGTATATGTATATATATGTATATATATATATAACAAAGAGCATTTAGGAGTAGTGTCTCTAGTTATACTCCTAACAGACTGATTTAGGGAGGGTTACTGTCTGAACAGCACAGTTTCCCTCCATTGTTTCCAGTTTAAAGTCTTGCCTCCAGCATGGAGAGAGGCATATAGAACAATGGATAGTAGGAGCATTTATAGTGGATGACTAACTGTTAGAGTATGGGCAAAACCTCACATAACCTGTTTTTGCCCTCAAGTTGTCAGTGTCTGCATAATCTGTTAATCAGTCTAGAACATGCATGGATTACACTGACCTGTAAAGACATAATTCAGTGGTGAAAAGCTTGTTAATACACAAAAAATGTGCAGGTATTTTTACAGTACTCATTTAAAAAAAAAAAAAAAAAAACCTGGCAGCGACATACAGGAAGAGAATGAGGATAAAGGAGGAGTGAAGGCCTGAGACCAGGAAGTGCTGCAGCTCTCAAGAGTGAGACATCTTCTCACTACCTAGATTAACAAGGTCATCCATCCTGACTGTGCATGCTTTCTTCTTTTCTACTGTCCACTATGGTTCTGTAATCCCCGCTGGGTACAAGTAGGGTCCTCCTCAGCCAACCACCTCCGGCTCAGTGAGCCTCACAGCTCTCTCAGCCAGCCTCAGTGTGGCTGCAGCTCGTCTGCCTCCTGCAGAGTAACGCATAGCAGTAGAGTACACACAGTACCCGGAAACCAGCCAGCTCCTGTCCATAATGGTTAGACTTCATGTGGTTTCCGGCTCTGCCATTTTAGCTTGGTTTAGTTTCAGCCAGAGATCTTGTGGAATGTGGGCATGGCATGCACTGAGATTGTAAATGACCCTGGATAGAGAGGATTTCAAGAATGTGCAAATATTTAAGACTATCTTAGAAATGTTTTATTCCCTAATTATTTTTCTAAAACACCTGATATGATACAGAGCTTGACAATGCGTATAAAATGCGTATGTAGGAGAAAAGACTGTGTGGCCACCATTTTCTCTACACGTACAAGAGTTACTTGGGACTGAAGATTTTCAACACGACATCTGCAGGAAAGATGATGGATCCAATGTAGAAGAGGCCGGATTGCTATTTTATTTATGATGAATGTGAAACTGGAGGGCAATGCTCTCTTGTAAGCTACTGTGCATATTTGAAGTATAAGAGCCATTGGAGCAAACTGTACACAATGAACAGCACAGAAAAAAAGCAGCACAGCCACCCATTCGCTCTTCTTTGCTCTCCAGTGTGTTCAAGGTGGCAGAGCTCCATCCACTGAGCTTGTCTTCTGTTTGACTTTAAGCCTCACCTGTGACAGCCGGGCTCCTGTTGTCGCAATCCAGTGTCTCTCTCTGCATGACTGGAGACCATTTACCAAGTGATTATATTCAGTGATGGCATGGAAATCCTCATCGGGCTTGAGTTTGTATGCAGAACGTAATGCAATAGATTGCAGCTCCCCAGACAGGGAAAGAGAGTGCTGGTTATGCTTGTCAACCCCAGTCATTATGGGCCGTTGGACGTCCCTGCACCTGGAGAGATGTCAGCTTGTCCTCTGTGGTTTGTTCGCCTGTCTGTCTTCTGCTGCCTAATATGTCCTGGAGAGGCAGCGTCAAGCTGAGAGTGAAAAACAATCCATGCCAGGTTGTCACGGGGGTCTCGTGATTGAATAGAAAGCGGTAGTTTCTTACATGGATCCAGTGACGGCGGTTGTGGATGCGGGTGTTTTCCCCTGTTTAGATGTAATTCCTGAAGTCAAAACAAATCCTTTTTGAGGAACCAGATTAAATCATGATGGTCTGAAGAGTGTGGGCCTCAAATCAGCACTGGGAATGTAAACACTGTGGGAAACCATTACACGCTTCAAATTGTTGCCATGCACTGTCTCAGGCAGAGAAAAAGTGTAATCACCTTGATAGTGCGATAAGACATTATAGTGCGTTTAGTGAGCAATTGACAGATAAAATAGTTTGAATAGTGCAGTCTTTTCTCACCAAGCCATTGCTTTGTGACTGATTTTCTTGTACTGTTGAACATGAACCATGAGCAGATAACATGCACAGTCAAGGAAGAGCTAATCCTTTTGTCTGGATAATTGCCAAACAGAGTTCAATTTATCCCCCAAGGATATTTGCTTCTGAAGGACTTCCTGCCTATAAAGTCCCATCTTTCCAAGACAGGGGCCAGCCTTGACTCGGAACTTCTCTCTGCGCAGTGATTTGTAATTTTCCCAGTGAGAAATGCGTTGGTGGCTGTCAAAACGGTGCTTGCATCTGAGCAATGACTATGCCAACTGTTCCAGCTAAACTTCTCCTCAGACACGAGTCACAGAACCATGCCAGTCCAGCTGCCATGTTGACTTTGGAGGGAGACGAGAGAGAAAGAGGGTAGACGGACTTCCAAGGCACTTGGCTTGGCTGTCTGTCCAACGTTGGAGGTTTACCTTGGCCGCTGACCAAATGCTCTTACAACCCACTGATCAGCAGACTAATGGAAACCATAACAATAGCTGCATGGCTGCATTAATGCTGCAGCATCACAACTTGCTGAACTACCTTCACAGCCTTTGTATGTATGTATATGTCATGGTTAAAATATAGTTCTTCACTGAGACATACCTCTTGTGTCTGTCAGATTTTTCACCTACCGTCTCACTTCATTTGCATAGTTTAAAAACTTTTTTAGTCCGTATCTGTGGCTTTCATTTGCTTAGTAAGTAGACAGCAGATACGAAGCTGTAACTGCCTGCAAATGGCAATCACTGACACACAGAGCACATGCAAATAAGGACGAGATGAGTGGGAGACAGTAAGCAGGAAACATAGAAGCCTCAAGCAGGAGGAGAAGCTCAGTGCACCAACAATGAGGTTTAGCTCGTTTCCACCCAAACCGTCCTTCGTTCTCCGGAGGCAGAGAGCCATCAATGCAACACTGATGGCAAACTGAGTTAAAACAGGAGGAGCTGCAGCCCAGACAATCTAACAATGTTAAGCATGAAAGAAAATAAGCATCACTCACTGGCTGTTTTCACTTCAGACCCAGCCTGTTTCAGTGTGCCACCCTGAAGCAGATACTCCCTCCCCTCGCTGCTCTGCTCTATATCAGGAGCCCCGCTGTTTGGACTAATAGTAAAAGTAATTAAATGTTGGGTATTCTACCCCGGGGCAAGATACAGGGCTGTTGTTGTAACAGTGAGTCCTGCACAAGCTGAGATACTGGTGTCACATTTGCATTTCCCTTATATTAGCAGCCAGTCCATGAGCGAGATGAAGGCTGTTTTGGTTTTTAGTGGATTTACGTGCAAGATGACAGTATTTTTTTTTTAGGAATACAAAATAAATCATGACTGAAGTTGTATTGGTGCCATACATTTATGACCTAAAGTGGAGACGAACAAATAAACTTAAAAATGACAGTTTGCTTGTTTGTCGCCTGCTCACGCTCATCAGCTGATCTCTCTTCATTTCTTACCCTTGGGAGTCTCTGAGTCTGCACCAGCCGGCTTTAGTCCAGTCTGCTTTGCTAATCTGGTATCACAGTTCAGTCAATGTCACTGGAGGTCAAACAACATTCAGGATAGATGCACAATGCCAAAATCCTCCAGACAGACAGACAGTGGATGAAGGACAAAGTCCCGCTATAGCAACTCAGAGTAAACCCTTTTGTAATATAAATGCCCCATCTAGTGTTTCTGCTTCTTTTAGCAATCACAACAACGTTACTGCGGCTGATATGTCAGCGTTATATATAGTAACTGTACCAGTGCCCCTCTGTGAACTTGTGAATTAAAAAATATCTGTCAGGGAGACTTAGATCCTGTTTAAATGTTAACACACTCACGCTGACCCCTGCTGCCCTCAGTGTGAGGTTTTCCTTCCTCCTCCGCTAAGATCCACTGACAACACTTCCCGTCATCGCGAAAGCAGAAGCCTGTGGTGCATTGAACTGGCAATGTGAAGCAGATGTGGTCACTAGAAGCCATGGACCTTTTTTTGAAGTAGCCTGAGCCGTAACGGGAGAAGCAAGGACGTGACCCAGTGTGACTTCGGAAAGCTCAAAACTCCTGATGATCTTGGGAGGCATCTTAGCTTGATGAAACACTCAGACAGAACTAACACGAAGACAGGAGAGACATTTTTAGAATTCATTTGGTTTTGTAACGGCTCCATAGCTGAGGAGACACCCTCTTTTGCAAGTCTACGCGTTTGCGCTTTGCAATAGTAGCAGTCATTATTTTGTACGTTTCTGTTAACTGCGGTGTGGTTTAATCGATGGTAAATACGCACACAAGTTTAATTTGTGTGCTGTTAAAGGGTAAAAGTTTTTCCATGGGAATTAAGAAAATGACAGGAAAAACACCCAGAGAAGTGAGGTTAGTTGGTGGGACAATAAAACGAAGGGCTGGTGATAACAAGGCTGCAGCTACAGGCAGGCTGTCTGATGCCGAGGTTTACTGCGCACCTCCTGTGGTCTGCAGGCCTCGTCATGGGAATGCATACACAGTCATTAGTCTCTGATAGATGTCTACTGGAAGCAGAGCTACTTTTAACCACAAAGAGGGATTAAGTTAGATTTTAAGGGATTATGTTTAAGACTACAAACTTCCTCACTCTCCGGCACAAATATTAATTGCTTTTTTTTTTTTCTGTTTTGAGGAAGGGGTAAACAGCCGTAGACTATTCTCAGCGGTTTCCTCTTTACTGTCTAATCAACAGAAATATGTGAACGCCCCTGTTTGAATCAAATAAGAGGTCTTGCCATTCTCTTGTGAAACAGTTTGCTGCACAAAGTCATTGTGGCCGTTGTGCTTATTGCGGAAAACAATACTCATAAATTGTGCTTGACATTTAATGTTATTTCTTGAGATTGCATTTGATTCATTGAGGCTCATTATATGTAATAATGCAACGTCTGTGTATATGTGTGTGTGTGTGTGTGTGTGTGTGTAGCTGGCAGGCCTGGGGTGGGACAGAGAACATGGCTGAACCACGGCGGGAGAGCACCAGCAGCCTGCAGAGGAAGAAACCTCCGTGGCTCCGACTGGACATTCCCACGGCTCAGATGTCGCTGGACGAGCCTCCCACTTTTGTTCAGGTACTCCTTCCCGCTGAATGTTCAGTATTTGTCACGTTTTGTCATTTACGCCGTGACCCGCGTTCTGATGCATCCTTCCCTGTGCAGCCGGTGAAGAGGCAGGGGTTCCTGCGCAGCATCAGCATGCCAGTGGAGACCTCTCACCTCCAATCTCCTCCCCGTGACCTCTTCGACACCCGGCGGCCTGTCTTACAACGTCAGTCATCCATCACTCAGACCATAAAGAGGTAACGGCAGTCAGGAGAACACTCGGTTTATATATTGACGTCATATATGTGGGTCATGGGACTAACTCCTATTGCACCATGGAGCTTTAAGATTGTAATATTAAGGACTTCTAATCTCTTTTTCAGACTAGCATGCAAATAGTGTTCATCTGGTAGGCTACAGTATGTGAGTTTGCAGATTATACCATGTCATACAATGTTATATAAGCAACACATGCTTATATGAGATTCATGAGTTAAATGAAAGATGTTGGCAGCCCAAAGCATGTAAAAAAATCAAAATCTTTCCCTGATAACTACAGTGTTTCTCTTTCCTTACCTTTCCCCCTCCCCCACAAATTTCAAGACCTAATAACATCTTCATATCATCTGCCTGGTAATGCCTTTCCTAATTTTGTAAATCTAAATGAAAAAAACTTTACCTAACCGTCTGCTTTGCTCTCTCTGCATGATGGCTACAGCACTGTCTAGCTGAACTTTTTTTCCCTGCCTTTTCACTGCCTCTTGTTATCTCTTCTGTTTTCTCCTCCTTCCCTCTGTCCCTTTCCTGCCACCTTCTGGCCTCGCTCTGCCTGGTCGCAGCAGCAGGAGGGTTCACTTTGAACGGATTAACACGGTGCCCATTAAGGGGCAGCGGGCTGCGCGGCGCAGCACCAGGAAACACCACTCGCTCTCCAGAACTCTGCTCAGGTATGGCAGGGAGGGTCTCATGAGACTGTGAGAGTTAGGGTCAGGATGAAGATCATATGTGTGCTTATTTGTTATGAGTAAATAAGGAAGTAGGCTGCATGTACTCTTGTCATGTTTGGTTTCCTAAAGTTAAATCTTACATCAGTTTTTTGATAGTGTCAATGCAGCTATGGACTTTTAATTGGTGTTTTACCAGCTGACTGAATGATGTTACACATGAGATCCACCTCACAAGACTCACAGGAATTGTTTCTTTCTCCATCACTGGCGATTACATCAGATTCAGATCATCACCACAAAGATTTCTTTTAAATGAGTCACAAGAAGACCCCAAACCAAAAGCCTTCACTTCCTTGATATACATTTCACTTCATTCAGCAATGACCCGGCCTGGCAGTGGGAGGGGTCCTTCGTTTCTCTGCACATCTATCAAACACAATCCATCACAAGATGGTGTTGTTTTTGAGTGCTGCTTGTTAGCGAGCCAGCATTTTAAGGCTGGCATGCCAGATCTGATGGGCTGCTTTGTGGGCTGATTAGATAAGGCTGACAATGTTAAGTCACACATGCAGAAAACAAGGATAGTGCGGGCACTGCTGCAAAGAAAGGCATGCAGAAATATCAGATATGCTGTCATGTAACTGACACATTTTAAAAAGCTCAGGGTAAGAGTAAAGCTTATTCAGTGGAAGAAAAAGTGAGCCGAGCTGGTGATAAATAAATAGCAGCAAACTTCACTGAACATTCACTCTGCAGCTGGTAATTAGTGAAGAAACACATAGCTTTCCTGAACTTTCCTTTGAAGAATGTTTCCACTTCCACTTCCTGGCCTCAGGGGGGGCAGTAACATTGTTTGCTCTGGTACTTATTAGGCTTCGACTTCAACAATGTGATTGCATGTGTAATCATCAAGGTTTGGTGGAATGTGCTAATGTGCAGAGTGGAGTAGGACACAAAACTTAAAAAAAAAAAAAAAAAAACTTATTGTCTTTATTAATTGGATTTGCAGTTAAGATTAAGAAAATCTCAGCAAGTTGGATTTTATTTGCCGCATCAGAACTCTGCTAATCCTTCCCTTATTTTCTGTCTTTGAAAATGTAGACTTTGGGAGAGTGAATGACTGTACCAAGCACTGTGTGTGTGTGTTTCCTGGTGTGTCTGGACATAAACATGCCGCGGCTTGTTCCCTCTACTGTGCCCATTGCTTGCACTATGTAGGACACTTTTTTACATCCTGCAAGGTGTTGTCTTATCAGTGCCTCAAATGTTTGCCGACACACTCCTCCATACGCGGAGCTGTTAAGAGGGTCATCAATGAGTAGCTCTATATCTCTCTGGCAGGTTAGATGCATTTAATGTCTCTATGAGGAGTAAAGCTGAATACTCAATGTTTGTGGTGTTAGGGGAACGGCGGACTGGTTTGGGATCAGTAAGGACGGTGATGCCACCCAGAAATGGCAGCGGAAAAGTCTTCGCCACTGCAGCCTACGCTACGGGAAGCTGAAACCGCAGGTGATCAGAGAGATGGATTTGCCCAGCCAGGACAATATCTCCTTAACCAGCACAGAGACCCCGCCTCCTCTCTACGTCCCCTCCTCACAGCATGGCATGCAAAAGGTAAAAGGATGCATTTACTAAATTCTGTTATTTGAGTCCTTTTTTTTTTTGCTTACAACTGAAAAAAAGAACAGAATTAGAAGCTCTTTAATATATCAGCTTGGTACTTCTTGTTTTAATGAATCTTTTTTACTTCATGTCTGTCTCTTCATAATTCACACTTGTTGAACCGTTTGGTCTCCAGATTGTGGACCCACTGGCGCGAGGACGGGCCTTCCGCATGGTGGAAGAGGTAGACGGCTACAGCGTGCCTCAGACACCTATCACCCCCGGAGCTGCCTCGATTTGCTCCTTCACCAGCTCCCGCTCAGGTCTCAACCGACTTCCTCGCCGACGAAAGAGGGAGTCTGTGGCAAAGATGAGCTTCAGGGCCGCAGCAGCGCTCGTCAAAGTGAGTGAGAGGAATGAGATCCAGTGAACAGACTGAATTCAGTTTTGTACAATTAAATAGAAAGGGAAGCAAGTGCACCAAAACACCTGTGCACATTTCCTTTCTGTCCTTAATTATCGTACTTAATTAAATGTTAAGGTTGAGACCCTACAGAAATACAAATTAACCTAACTAATTAAATATTAAGGTGAAGACCCTACAGTAATATATACTTTAACAAACTGCCTTACCAATTTAGAAATTCTACATGTCGAATCCAACAAATCCAAAGACTCCCTATGAGCAAGCAAACTGGCAACAGTAGAGAGGAGCAACGCTCTTTAAACAGAAAGAAACCTCCAGCAGAACCAGGCGGATTGAGGGCAGACATCTGCCTCGAACAGGTGAGGTTAAAGGGGAGAGACAACAGGATAGCAGAGACAAACAGGCAACAACAAAAAGGCATCAGCACTGGACAGATTGGAAGGAGCAGTAACTACAGATCAGACTTGTGCAGCACTACTGTGGTACTGTGATGGAACGATTACAGTTGTAAAAGCATATGTACATGTTTGTGTGTTTTTCTCAGGGGCGCTCGTTACGAGAGAGCACGCTAAGAAGGGCCCAAAGACGAAGCTTCACCCCTGCCAGCTTCATGGAGGAGGACGTGGTAGACTTTCCTGATGAACTGGACACTTCCTTCTTTGCCAGAGTAAGGCAGGAAAAGCAATCAGTGTTGCTGCGTTGTTGCTACTACGAAACATGTTTATTTATGATTGGATAGAATTATAATCAAAGACATATTAAGATTACAAATCGTTGCACCTCTACTCACTATTTCCCCCGCTGTGTGATCAACAAAGTGTTATCTTATCTTACCTTTCCACTGCATTCTTTCTAGGATATTCTGATGCAAGAGGAGTTGTCCACATATGCAGACGAGGTGTTTGAATCACCGTCTGAGGCGGCCATCCAAGAGGCAGAGCCCAGCGGCAAGAAGGATGAGACGGAGCTGACAGGCAGCGCCCTAGATAAGACGGAGCTGGAGAGGAGTCACCTCATGCTGTGAGTCTCTGTGGCCAAAGTGTTAGTCACAGAGGCGGTGCTGATACAAATATTTTTTAAAATAATGATTAACACTGATCCTTGTTTTTGGGAAACCATTTGTGCACAGTGCAGAAAATGTCAAATAATGTAATGTAGTCAACTGAACATTGTATGGTTGGTGTTTTGTGCAAAAAAAAATAATCATATGTAGGATTTAATATAGAAATACATCAAAAATGTGGTTTTCTCAGCCTCATTAGTAGCTGATTGACTATGAATAGTACTGATCTGATTGGTGATACAGCCAGCTAATGCCTCATAAATGTTCTAAAGGTCAACAAGTTAAAAATCTGGCCTAAAAATCTCAGATGATGCACGAAGACAATAGATAGACAGCATCCAGCTTATACACTTCTGTCCCTGTTTATGTCTTCCAGACCTCTGGAGCGAGGATGGCGTAAAGCCAAAGAAGGAACTCCAGGACCACCAAAGGTGCCATTGCGGCAGGAGGTGGTGAGCGTAAATGGGCAGCGGCGCGGCCAGCGCATCGTCGTGCCTGTCAAGAAGCTTTTTGCTCGGGAGAAGAGGCCTTACGGGTTGGGCATGGTTGGGAAGCTCACAAACCGTACCTACCGCAAGCGCATTGACAGCTACGTCAAGAGGCAGATAGAGGATATGGATGACCACAGGTACAGCGCGTCCCCACTGATCGCTCTAACGAACACTTTCTCGCTGCTTTCCTCAGTGGGTGACACTGATGGATGGCAAGTGCTGCTGTTCTTTTTTTTTTTAAATTTTAAATGCACATTCTCTGTCTCTTTTAGGCCTTTTTTTACATACTGGATCACCTTTGTCCATTTGCTCATCACTATCTTGGCTGTATGCATCTATGGTATTGCACCAGTGGGCTTCTCCCAGCATGAGACGGTTGATTCTGTGAGTTCTGGTTCAGAAATGATGAGCATCTTCATTAGCACCTTGACAAAATTGTCATTTTAATCCTTTTAATATTGATTTTACTCTTTCTGTTTTGTCGTCTGATACAGGTTTTAAGAAACAAAGGTGTGTATGAAAATGTCAAGTTTGTACAGCAGGAGAACTTTTGGGTCGGGCCCAGTTCGGTAAGCACCATTCTTTGTCTTTTTAGTCGTGTCTCGCAGATTAAAAACAAAAAACTAAAGAATACAAGCAAGAATCGAGTGTCAACGTTCCTAAGTAAATGCTGAATTTTCTTTTCCTTTTGCACCTTTATCTATCCATTTTTAGGAAGCCCTGATCCACTTGGGGGCCAAATATTCTCCATGCATGCGGCAAGACAAGCAGGTGCATGATCTTATCAGGGAAAAGAGAGCTATCGAAAGCAACTCTGCCTGTTGTGTGCGGAACGATCGCTCTGGCTGTGTCCAAACCTCAGAGGAGGAATGCTCGGTGTGTAAACAAACCCAATTCCTTGCTTTGTGCTCCTTGACCTTTATAATCCAGCTACAAAGAGGAAGCCGCGGGTCACTCTGATTCCCTTCTGTTTGTGTCTAGAGTACTCTAGCTGTGTGGGTGAAGTGGCCGAGGCATTCCAGCACTCCCCAGTTAAACGGTAAAGACAGACAATATGGCTCGGTGTGTCATCAGGATCCAAGGTACGACGCTCTCACAGTTCTTCCCTTTAAAGCTTGCTGTATAAATTCACCGATGGAAGTTGTAACACGTTATTTGTTTGGATTGTTTCACTTTCTCTGCCTGCAGGATATGTCTGGAGCCCGCCTCAGTGTCACCACATGAATGGCCGGATGACATCACCAAGTGGCCAGTGAGTACAATAAAAGCCTGTACAATGCTCAGGCATTAGGAGGGGGAAATTATAGAGGAAGATTTCTGCAAAATTTTATCACTCACATGTGATTTGATGCTTATCTTTTGTTCCAGCATTTAAAAGAATAGCAGATTTCTTACAAGAATGTGCCATTTGGTAACAATTTTCGCAGCATATTTTAGCCTTCTTTCTCGATCTGTTTCGGTCATAAGATCATCTAAGAACAAAGAAGAGCTTCCTTCTTTTAAGTCATGTGCCACTTCTTTATTATCTTCAAAAGAAAACACACATGAATGGTTTTGTATTGTAGCAGAGTTGTAAAAATGAGTTTTCTCTGCAGAATCAATGCTACACTTTTTTTGCTTTCATAGATTATGAGATGGCACAACTCAGCCACTTGATTTAACCCAAAATGTTTCTCAGAAATCAGCCACTGGTTGGAGTTAAAAGAAGGAGAGATGTTGCACTTTGTTCTGATGTTTCAGACTGTGGATCCTCTTTCGATGTCCTGTTTGGTATTACCTCAAAGAGTTGATTGTTGTTCCTCTTCTCTGGCTTTTAGATTTGTACCAGGTACAACACAGGGAACCATACCAACCTGCCTCATATAGACTGTACCATCACAGGCCGACCCTGCTGCATCGGAACCAAAGGGAGGTGAGGAGAGCTTATGGACATTTGTACTGATAAAATCACTCTCAGAAGATGGATGACCGGTTTATTCACATACTAACTGCTGTTTGTTTTCTTCAAGGTGTGAAATCACATCCCGGGAATATTGTGACTTCATGAAGGGCTACTTTCATGAGGAGGCTACTCTTTGTTCTCAAGTAAGCGAGCGTATTACACACAAGGGGAAAAAAGAATCTGTCTAATGAAAATACATCTTAAAATGTGTGTGGGAAATGTGAGTTATTTTGAATGTGGGGTGCTATTTTGTGTCCTTCCTGAATACCAAAACAGATTAAATGATTAGGCTCATCCAACATTTTTGGGTAGGAGGTGTGTAGGTGTTGAATATTTGTGATCTCTGATTGCTTCAGTTTTCCGTTTCCTGATTTATATGTTTGTGGTTTGCTGTATAAATTTCAGGATGACATGTTACTTAGTACTCTGTGTTCTGTCCTTCCTCAGGTGCACTGCATGGATGATGTATGTGGACTGTTGCCTTTCCTCAACCCTGAGATCCCAGATCAGTTTTACAGACTCTGGCTCTCACTTTTCCTGCATGCTGGGTGAGTCAGTAGCTGGCAGGATCACGGAAAGCACTTCTGCTTATTCTGAGATTTGCCTGGCAAACAAATCAAAACAGTGAGAGGGAATGTATTTGATTGTACAGTTGAAAAGTTACATTTGGAGCGTTTCTTTTGGACAGGTTTTCTTTTCTTGTAGTCTTTTTTTTTTAACATGTATTGGAGGAAAAAAGAAAAACTCCAAAGAACAAGCACAAATAAAAGCCAATCTTGCCAAGATGAAGCACAATTTAGCAGACAAGATCGCAGCCTATGAATCGGTCATGAAAGTCTGCTTGGCATTTTGCTGCTGAAAGCCACCGCTGAACAGTGTTTACAATGGCTGTGTTTGGACCAAGCGGCGATGAAAAAAGTGATGAAAAGATCAGAATCAGAGTCAGGTTTGTTGGCTGAATATGTTTGGCACATACAAGGAAATTGACTCTGGTTGTCAGTATGTACTCACATCACAACAAAACAAGCGCATCTAAAGATAAAGACCATGAAGACACGCTCTGCAAATATATATAAAAGACAAACAGGGAGATAAAGGTGGAGGACAAAGGAAACAAAGAGAAGGGGGACAAACAGTGGCTGGTGATATTGGTTCCTGAGTAGAGGTAGAAAAAATGCAAAAAGAGTGTATGACAGTGTAAACAACGACCAGCGTATGCACTTCAATTATACAATTACACAGCTATTATTATAAGTGAAAGAAAGGTAGTCCCATTATCTGAACTAGGAGTGTTCATTTTTCCTACTTTCACTGAGCTAGAGGTGCTCCAGCTGTTTTCCATTATGTCACAAATATGTTAATACGTGATCTTATCCATCACTTACAGTTATCTCCTGTATATATTAAACTAACAGCTCTGCTTCAGTACACTTTAGACCTGTCAGTCAGTCAGCACAAAGAGCTGACCTCACAGTTAAGAAGAGCAGCTCTTCCTCTTCGTGTTGTCTGTTATCTCTCTCCTGGGTAATTAAACAAAGTGCCCTCGCTACCCGAACTCATTAAGCTTCGGCGCGATAGAGCCTTATTTTGTTGCCGCGCAAAGTCATTGCTGCTCAGCTGTTGAGGGGTTTCACGCTCCTGCGCAGAGGGGATTATCTTCTTGACATGTGCCGCTCTTCACACACATGAACCTTTTGTCCGTGTCCGTCCTGTCCTCCCAGGATCCTTCACTGCCTGGTGTCGGTGGCTTTCCAGATGACCATCCTGAGGGACCTGGAGAAGCTGGCGGGCTGGCTGCGCATCTCCATTATTTACATCCTCAGTGGCATCACTGGCAACTTAGCATCAGCCATCTTCCTGCCCTACAGAGCAGAGGTGATCCCCAGTTAAATCCCCATATGCTGCGAAATATGGCATGCTGTCATACGAGAGTGTTTCATCCCAGAAACAAGGGATGTAACTCCCATTTTTGGGTATAGCTGATGTTATAAATTCTTATATCACTGTCCACAAAAACTCAAATGTTTGAAGCAATCAGAAAAAAAGGAAGTACAGCACTGGTGGCTTTGAACTGTTGCCCCATGAACCTTTCTCACCTGACCTGACACTGTCTGATTTCTAGAAGTCAGACGGTGCCACCAGTGTCTTGTGGACGGGAGCTTTGTCCTGGAGCAACAGCGCGCCAGCTCAAAGCTTTCCTCTCCTTACAAAGAAATGAAACATTTTTACAGACAGTGATAAAATGCTTTATAGTGTACAGTTTTGCACCAAAATGGAAGTTTAGCCCCTTATTTCTGTGTGAGGCAGAGAACCTTTTGAAGTACCCTTACAAGATGTCTCAGAGATTTCACTCAGAGATCTTGCTGTGACTGTTTCTGAACATTTCATTGTGTTTACTCAGGTGGGTCCAGCAGGCTGTCAGTTTGGGATCCTGGCCTGCCTGTTTGTGGAGTTGTTTCAGAGCTGGCAGATCCTCGCCCAGCCCTGGAGGGCCTTCACCAAGCTGCTGTGCGTGGTGCTCTTCCTCTTTGCCTTTGGGCTGCTGCCCTGGATCGACAACTTCGCCCACATTTGTGGCTTCATCTCGGGCTTCTTCCTGTCCTTCGCCTTCCTGCCCTACATCAGCTTCGGCCGCATGGACCTGTACCGCAAACGCTGTCAGATTATCGTCTTCCTGCTGGTGTTTGTTGGGCTCTTTTCAGGCCTCGTGGTGCTCTTCTACGTCTACCCAATCAAGTGTGAATGGTGCGAATTGCTCACCTGCATCCCCTTCACAGACAAATTCTGCGAGAAGTATGACCTCAACGCTCACCTCCACTGAAGGGAAGGCATCAGGTCAACAGATGTGGACTGGCTGGGGGACGGTCGCCCCCTTTTCTCTGTGAACTATGACAATATGCTTGTGTTCTTTTACTCTGTCGATATGAAAACCTATACCACTCATCCCAAGGACTTCCTTTAATCGCCTCCAGGCAGTCATTGTCAATCCCTCACTGTCCAGTGAAACAAAGCTACAGCACTTGTGAACCTCATCAAAGCGCTCAGCTGCCTTTTACATGTGAGGCAGGAATTAGAGAAGCCAGCGCTGGTACAGAGAGAAGGATTTCTTTTTACATTCACACTCCAGACATAGGTTTTATTATTATTAATATTATTATTATTATTCAGGCAACCTCATACAGAAGCAGGGACAAAAAATCAAATATTGATACCTTTGGTGCCTTGTTGATAAATGTACCAACTACTGCCATATTTTTGTTACATTATGCTGAGCACTCGAATGTTTTCTTTTATTTGTTTATTGCTTCTCAAGAAGTGATTATTGTTCTGAACACGGTAGCGTTTTAGCTACCTGTCTAGTCACATGTAACTGAAAACAACAGTAAAAAATCTACAAAATCAAAAATGCCTGCTGCTTTCTCTTAATTGCCAGAACATGCCTGCTGAGAATTGTTTTAGAGTTTATTCAAATTCGGGCAACATAGAAACAGACACAGAAAATTTCTGCAACAAATATTTGAAAATCTGAGTGTGTAGCTCCTCAAACAGTGAATTCAGCACACGTTTTGATTTGCATGGTTTACAAAAATAGACTTGTATTTGCATCACGGCTCCAGATTTTAGTGTGTTTGTAAGATATTTTCTCATAACAACCTCCTTTTTAGTACAAACTGCTGTATGAATAAATGAAAAAAAACAACAACATTAAACTCACAAAGCTGACTTGCTACCAGCAACAGACGGAATATGAACTGATCTCTGATAAGCCACAATATTAACTGTGAAAAGCATGTGATTCATTTTGTTGCTTGAAAAAGTGAATCCACTTTTTGTGCCCTCTGTCCTCACAGAGACCTTTTTCATTGGGTCAGAGGAGACGCTGACTATAGGTTGCTGAAACTGGGCCAACAGTGCGCACCGGCCCTTTTATCTGTCCATCTGTCTGATGTGTTTCGTTAATCTTTTCTGTCCTGAGTCCACGTTAGAGGTGAGCAAGTGGAAGGAGGGTGGGGTGGGAGGTCGAGGGACTAGCAGCCGCTGTTCCGCCGTGCGTACGCCTGCCCTCCGAGTGTGTACTCCATCTCTTGGAAGTGCATGTTGGACACGGAGATGGCAGACGGCCCTTTCTCCTTGAAGCCGGCCTTGAGGTAGAAGGGCACCAGGAAGTCCTCGCAGATCAGCAGAGCTCGGCGGATGCCCGGCAAGCAGCGCAGATACTGCAGGTAGCGCCACAAGAGGATGGAGCCCTTGCCCTGCTGGCGACAGTGGCGGTGCACCGACAGCACGTGGATGTGCACGGTGGGGGTGTTTGGGACGTGCCGAGTCATGGCCTCCTGAGGGGGGGAAGATTAAATAGAATATCAAAACACAATGAGCCACAGAAAAGTCTGCAGTTTGCATTTGGAACACCACAGTTTGTCATATTGTGTTCTTTACAGATTGTTGATTAGTTTTAATACCTGTGAAAGCCTCTCCTTGTCCCAGCCAGAGCCGATGATGAAAGCTACCAGCTGTCCCTCTTCAAACCAACCCAGTGACAGCTCAGGGCACTGACCCAGGAAATTAAGCACTTCATTCAGGGTAAGTGGACACTCTCCAGACACAGAGACAAATGCTGGAGGGGATGAAGAGACCCATTAGAGACAGTGGGTCACCATGGAGGTGATGATCATGATGATGAAAGGATCAAAGAAAAGTGTTCTTTTCTGGGACTAAGATGCAGGTGAAAATCCAAAAGCACCATTTGAGCATTTCAGATTTTACACATTCACACCTTTACCAATTTGTTTAAAGATATAACACATGTTGTTTAGACATTTTAAGGACATACACACAGTTTGTGAAAAGCAGAAGCAAAACTTACCTTCTCTTTCAATCTCGAACACACTGATGGCGTCTTGCGGCGTGAGGTTCCTGAACTCGCTGGCGGGAAGCGTGTGTCTCCTCTGCTGCAGAGGCCTGACCACTCTGACAGGTGTCTTCAGAAAGAAAGGTTTGAGGAACGGTGAGCCGCTGACCTGCTGTGTCATGATACCTCAATACTGCAAGGACAGGATGTTCTTTTTATTTGTCTGGGCTCCTTTTGTAATCTGTCTCCTCCTTTTCCAGCCTTTTTTGCAGATCAATTTCTATTCTGATGACTTCAATGGTGAAGTCAAAGCCTTCTAACAAAACTTTTCCTCTTCTCTGTTTGTCCCGCAGCTCCGACTGCAGTCAAGCGCACTTCAGTTGGCAAGATGCTGACCTTTGTGGCTCTGCAGCTCTCTCCTCCTCCTCTTCTTTCTGTCTGATCTAATACTGCAAAGTGGTTGTCTTCAAGTAGGATAGCTGTCTGTGCACGTGTCTCCAAAATCTCTAAATCCCCTGATTTCAAAAGGCAGACGTTTTTGTTTTTTTTCTTGGGGCATTTCCTACATGAGTTCCACGTTGGATTTGGATTAATCAGCCTTATTCAGAGACAGACGTCTCAGTACTTGCAGCATTTCATAGTACATATTCAAATTAAACACAGATTTTACTTAACCTCATGTCAGGGTTGTTACAACTAACATTTGTGTGTCTTACACATCCTAAGTAAGAAAGTGTTTGATATTTTCACTTATTCACTCTGTAGCCTTTTTTTGTACTAATGAGAATGTATGTCAGGACAAATTACATCATCACAGAACACATTTAACACGAAAACAAGCTGTTGTTGAGATGTGATGACATGTTAGAAATTATCTCCACCGAGCACATGTATGTTGACACATGCACGCATGCATGTCGTCTCCGCAGTGTGCTGTGCAGGGTGGGGATAAGCGAGACACGGTGTGACAGGATGTGGTGATGTGCATGTTTTCAGAGATCAAGGGCATGTGGGCTAATTTGACTGCACTAAGATAGGAGGGAGATTTGTGTGGATTGCTGCTGGGATGATTTCATGCCTTAAAGAGATTTAGCACAGGCTAATTAAATGAGGGAGCACTTGCTTTGACTGGCCTGAAATAAAGCTGTTTACACAGACTTGTTTGACTGTCAACACAACATAGTAGAATTTTGAAGGGCCCTTCAAGATCATGAAATAAAATTCCCCACGTGTTGGAAGATACAAGGCTCCTATTAAAAATTCTTATTTAAAGGAAACTGTGTCTGATTTTGTATTCTTACTTTATCAAAACAATATTCTAACTGTAATTAGCTTTTATAGTGGCTTTCACTGTATTAAAATTCAACTAATCTGACCTGTTTTTGACCTGATCCTGGCTTAGTTTTCTGCAGACAAACAGTCTTCACACTACAGTCATCTGGCTTAAGGCTCAGCCTTAATAGTTTTTATCGTAGCCTCAACAGATCAAACCAAAACAGAATTGTTGTAGGATTACTGTTTCACCCCACTGCCTCCTTACAGTGATAAACGGGAAATCTCCTTTATTTCAAGCCACAAATGATGTCATCTGAACAGCGAACCAATCACAAATACGACAACATCTCTGCTTGTGAGGTCATCAGATGTGAGGGACAAAGACTTACACAGTCGTCATGAGATAAAATGATCTTTACTGAGAGCGGCTGTCTGTCCTCTTGGCCCCTTAAAGCAGACTGTTATTGGCAACCAATGGCAAGTGATACATTGCAAGAATCCTGGAAACCTGTTTTAAAAATGTCGGACAAAATTAAAAACTGTTAAGGAAAGCAGTTTGGTTCTCAAAACTGTGAACACACAGGAGCTGATTTTACATGTTTGCAACTGAACCTCACTGTCTGACCTTCTCTGACTCCAATAGCCTCAGTGAGTGCGTGCGTACACTTGCACACAGGTTTTTTGATTTTTTCTCCCAGTGTATTATGTTTTTACTGGCAAGCTTGAAGCCACAGTGTAACAGAATCCTCATTAAACTTTACACCGGCTCTGGCACCTGTTGGCTTAGCTGCGCAACTGCTAATCGTAACTGCAGAAGAAAGTCATTTTGCCAGTGACATGACATGTTAGGCAGGGAGAAGATTCATCCTGAGCTCAACTGTCATTCACTAGCTCAGCTTTCACAACATGCATGCTTCTTCTACAGTAAACTGTGTTTAATTCAAGATGAGACTGAAACTTTATGCATTCAAACAAAAGACATGCACCTGTTTAATGATGTGTGTGTCCTCTAGCCTCTTCTCTATATTGGTGTATTTCATCCATAAAAACCAAACAACCTTTTGTCGTTTTACTTGATTTTGCTGTAATCAAGTGAAAAACAGCAAAACATTGTCACAATTACACATATCCAATCTACAGTCTTTTCACCATGTGTATATATATATATATATGTATATATAATGAGTACATCTTCATACATTATTGCAGCGTTCACGTTATATACAAATAATAGCAACAAAAATTGTTGTTGTGACCCCAAATTTATTTGTCTTGAACTGTTCAATGCAACAAAAGACTGGAAATTATTATCTTTTTATGTGAATTTTGCGACTAGAGGAAGCCTTTCTTTCATCCTTGGATCACAGATTGTGCATATAAAACTGAATACACACATGGATCTGTGTGTGTTTGTCATCCACTGCTACCAGAAGGCTGGTTGGTTTATTTGCCACCAGCAGTTTCTCTGTTAAATTAGCCAACCATAACTTTTTCTTTTTAACTACGACGGACATTTTGTATTATCTCAAAAATATCTACAGCATGAAACCCTATGTGGACAAAAAGCATGCTTTAGGGGACCTTTAGGGGATCAAATATTAATCACCAAGTCAGGGGTGCAGAGGTTCAGGTAGAAGATGATCTTGTGTACACTGTTAAAACTGCCCTGTAACCAAAAGCTCCAGGATGGTTTTGTTACCTCTGTGGCCAGCAGAGAGCAGTGTTTACCCAGACAGACGACTCATCATCTACAGGTTTTATACACAGTAAAAGGCCATCTCTTAGCATTTTTGTAAGCTTTTCATAGTGTGGGATTTTTGAGGATGAGCTTGTGCAGTTTTATCTGTCAAAAAGAAAAGAAAATCTGTTTTTGCAGAACCGTTTTAGGGTGTGCACACGCATTTTAGTACAACTGATGACAAAGCACAGATTTATATTGGGGTGGTTTTCTTCATTCTGCACTCCGCAGTATTTCTTTGTGTTTTTACC